CGGTGGGTGTTTGATTGCTTCTATAATTGTGTACACGGATCATTATGACATGTTTTTCGAGGCAAGTGAATTTACCTGCAGATTCGATTTCCTAATGCCATTCTATTCATCCTTCGTAATTGTATCTGCGATATAGTTAATACAGGAAGTTCCCTATTAGGCCTTCAGGCAATGGACAGACTGATTTAAAAATCCTCTGAAGACACCAAAACTAATCATAGAGAGGGTGGATAAAATTCAGAAAACAAATCCTTCTAAACCATAGGAATACAAAGCTGCTTTTGTGAATTTGTGGTAGTACATAACTACTTTTACAACAAGTCGGTGTTTTGAAATTTTTGGTCCGTAAACTAAAGGGCCACCAGAAAGTTGTCATGACAGCCTAATGGCCCTCATGTAGAGTTGGTTTGGCTCAATCACTGCATCATGTAGATCAAACGCAAAAACGCCTTCTGACTACTTTTTGTACTTTTCATCCTACGGTCACAGGTGAATCCGTCCGTGTTGAGGCCGAAGCCGTCCCGACAGGAGCACTGGAAACTGCCGATGGTGTTGGTGCAAATCTGAGCACAGCCGCCATTGTTGGTCTCACACTCGTCGATATCTGCAAGAATACATGAATTAATAAAATACATTTATTCTACGTTTATGGTGTTACCAGATAAGTAAAGGTCATGTATGCAAAATAAGTGATATCTAACTATATATACTATACTAATGTGAACTACCAAATGCACGTACAGCTTCAGATACATGTATGTGCAGTTTTAACTTTTCCTCGCTTCTTGTAGATGTAGTAGTAGATTGTATGAGCATACGGACCTTGTAATGCATGGTTTGTCTAATTTCATAAGCAATAAATTTTTTTGTGCTTTATCTAAATGCAGAAACCTGGGAAACTTGTATACAATCATAGAGGATGTTTCATTTCTATACAACCCTTAATTTCCTCTAAAACACAAATTGACATATAATGCAGATCCATTGGAATGCCATTACAAAAGATGTTAAGTATGGTGGTGATTATCCAGGTAGCAAGTAAACGATGTAAGTCCGATATTAAGTGTAATAGTAAAACCCCGGACAACCTCAAACATTGTATTTATTACATATCTTTAAAACACGTGGCTAGTGATCTGAATATTATTGAGATAATCCACCGCTTACCACTTCCCATAGTGCCGAAAAAAGAGCTGGCCGCGTCGTCTTCCGGCATGATTCCGTCCGCGGCACACGTCCCTGTGGCCTCACTGTAGGCCCCGCTTGGACAGCCTGTGGAGAGAACGGAAACGTCAGCCGGGGTAGCTTCCAGTTTAAGTTTATCGAGATCCAAAATCAGGTTGACAATTTACCATTGCAGCTATTCTTCCTGTGGTCCTTTTAAAAAGCACAAAACTACATAACGCATTGCAAACAAAGTACAGTATAGTAGAGAAACTCGATTGTACAGGATATTCCTGTAGGAAATTGGCAAAGGAAGTGATAAACAAGAGTTCCACGATATCATACCTTCGCCAAATGATGTTAACCCTTGCGGTTGACGAATTATACAATAATTTTAATCATTGATTTTGTAAATAAGAGCCTCATTGCATGGATTATATCAGTTAATCATATTCTCCACCCAATGACAGCCTTATCTTAACAAAAAGGCTATTATAGCACTTTCTCATAAATTATGCAAATGAGGTCATGATTTGAATAAATCGTAGATTTGAATAAATCATATTTATTGATGTTCACCTTTACTTAACTTCCAAATGTGGCAAGTATGAAATTCCCAGCAGTTACAACTATGAAATCATTTTAAAAATTGCCATTGGTTATGCAAATTAGGTCCTCATTTACATAATCTATATCCTCAGATGTTTTTCTCGTTCTCAAGTAGATGTCACAAGTTCTAATATCGAACAAAACACATTTATAAGATTTCCTTATCAATTATGCAAATTAGCTCCTGATTTGCATTATTGTCATCTGGTTATGTCAAGCATCACTTCAACTACCTACATACCAAAAATCACGACAATCCGTCAACCGGTTCTTGATTTATCCTCCTTCAAAAATTTTCTACAAATGCTCCTGCAGTTCCAGAACAAACCGCTAGGGGACCCAAACTCATGTCACTTCTTCCCTATCCCAAGAGCTATCTGTCATCCAAAATTCATGACCTTAGCATGTCCAGATCACGAGATATCAAAACCGGAAGTTCTGCTGCAGTACCTGAAAAGCCGCCAGGGGGCTCAAAATCTAATCATTTCTAGCCCTCATCAAGACCTACCCACATACCAAGTTTCATGACAATGCATATTAATCTTCTTTAGTTATGCTGTTCACAAACAGACGGAAAGACAGACAAACGCTACTGAAAACATAACCTTCTTGGCAAAGGTAAAAATCAGTGTAACACCTTGCCAAATTCGATGGATCGTGAGCTCCTCTAAAACAGGGACGACGGATGATAATGATGATGATGATTCAAACAATATGAATAAGAGTTCCACGACCCCATACCTTCGCCAAATGATGTTTACCCTTCCGGTTGATGAAATATACAATTTTAATAATTGATTTCGCAAATAAGACTCTCCATTTGATCCGTTTATCATATTCTCCAGCCAATGACAGCCTTAACAAAAAAGGCTATTTTAGCACTTCCTCATAAATTATGCAAATGAGGCCTTGATTTGAACAAGTTATGTTTATTGATGTTCATCTTCACAGATGCAGCAAGTATGGAATTTCCAGCAGTTACAACTATGATATTATAACAATTTGACATTAAATATGCAAATTAGGTCTCATTTACCTAATCTTTATTCTCAGGTGTTTTTCTCGTTCTCAATTACATGTCACAGGTGTTTCATAGTCCTATTATCGAACGAATCAGATTTGTAGAAGTTTCTCATAAATCATGCAAATCAGCTCCTGATTTGCATAATTGTCGTCTAATTATGTCAAGCATCACTTTAGCTACCTACATACCAAAATCACAACAATCCGTCGACCGGTTCTTATTATCCTTCGAAGATTTTTTAGCAAACACTCCTGCAGTTACAGAACAAGCCACTAGGTTTGCCAAACCCATGTCACTAATTCCCTAAACCAAGAGCTATCTACCATCTAAAATTTGTTACCCTAGCATAAGATATCAAAACCGGACGTTCTGCTGCAGTACCAACAAAAGCCGCCAGGGGGCCCAACATCTAATCATTTCTAGGTCTTACCAAGACCTACTCATCTACCAAGTTCCATGACAATGCATATAAAGCTTCTTCAGTTACGCTGTTCACAAACAAACAAACAGACAAACTTACAAGGCTTATTACCTTCTTGGCGAAGGTAATAAGCCGAAGCGTAAACCTTCTAGTATAGTCCAAGTAGTGACTTCCCCTCCAAATATCCAGTCATATAGGACTAGTGTCATATAGAACCTATTAGTTATTAATATTAATAGTCTTTTGGCTTTAACTTTGTATTGAGAGCTCCTTTACACCTAGTTTACATGGGTGCCAGCCCTTCCCCGACTAATGTTATATGTTCTAATTTTTCAATATTTTATTGGGTATGAGTATATTGACCTAGTTGTTTAATTTCCCCCTTGTTCTAGCTTTACATTAACAATCATGTTCAAGTTACTAAGCTTTATATTTTTACTAAATGACATGAAGTTTGGAACAGGTATTGCCAACTAGTCGTTGTTGTTTCGCGTGTCAGCGAGCTTCGGCCGCCTCCAAAAATCGCCGGCGATCCCGAAAATTCACGCAATGCTCGGCGAAAAATCGGGCGTACTACGGTCGATTAGAGATCGATTTACGAGCAAATGTAAGGGCCCCTTAATTAAATAATCGCATAGGCTGGACCACCAGTCCATCCAACTTAGCCGAGTCTTTCGGTCAAGCAACGGTCCTGCTTATGCTTAGGTCACATTTGAAACGGCGCCCGTTCGGCGTGTCCTCGGTGTAGCTATAGACGCCGGCCGGCGTCATGACGCCGAGCGTGCGCCGACGGTCAGGGTCACAATTAAATGTTCCTTTACGGCTCCCTGTCGGGGCCTGGTTGTGCTCCGGCCGGTGGCTTCTAATTAATATTCATAAACTTTTGATCCCCTTGGCGGCCGGTTTCTGTCAGGGACCCGTCCGGTGCCCGGTCAGTCCCCCGTCTTGACCCGTGAGGCTTGCGGTAGGGTGCCGACCGGCTTTTACAGTTCAGCCGGGCAGCTGTCAGGTCCCTGGCGGGGTCCAGGGAGGATCCTGGAGCGTCCGTGGCGGGATCCCGTCGTGTTTGTCAGCCGGTATATATATGTAAACGCTGCACTGCCTGCTATCATTGCGACTTTAAATAGATGTTTCACGACCCCCTACAACGTGTAGACCCATCCATCGAGAAAAGTCCGGAGCAAGTGCTTTTTTGGTGAATGCCCTCTACTTCTTGACACATTTCAATGTATCCATAATGTTATATAATAACAGCAAATTTAGATATTACAGTCCAGTCTGTATGTAACACTTCTGTTTAATTCTATCCAGTGCCAGACAGCCCTTGCCAGCAGGCCTAAAACTCGCCATTACCCTACGTTTCCTGGCGACCGGGAACAGCTACCGATCCTTGGAGTTTCCCTCAAGGGTAGCCCACATGCAACACAATATCACTGTTCTGAAGTACATGTATGCCGGGCTATCGTCTCGGCTGTTTTACATTGCCCATCGGCATTCTGACACACAAGTATACGGTGTAACACACACAAGTACACGGTGTAACACACGCGTGTTGAACTGTGCGACGTAGTCTGAACAAGGAGTTTACATATGTCCCATATAACCCCATTTTCCTTACCACCTTATGCACTTATCAGCACATGTGACGTCATAATCTTAGGCAGGTGCCTGTTCGGCCGCCCGAAGGGTCCCGGGCAGTGAGGTTACGGCGTCGCTTCGGCGTATTTCGCCGAACGGGGCCCGAAGTGATTTTAACTCTGAGTTAAAATCGATTCGGCGACCGCGCGGGGCCAAAAATAGGCCGGCAGCTGTTGGGAAGCCCGCCGGTCTCCGTCCAGGTCCCGTTCGGTAGTGCCAAAAAACAGGCCGAACACGCGCCGAGCGGGCCCCTTTCTTAAATTGTGACCTAAGCATTAGCGATTGTAATCGACAAGGCGTGTCAGAATCGGGTGTTTCTCCACCCTTCTCAGTTTTCACATGTACCAACTTATCCAAGAGTACTAACTTGTTCCAATATACATCTAGTTGAATGGTATAAAACTTAACATAGGATTCAATGTCTATGGAGTACAATGAATTGCTTTTATGCATGAGACATACGTTAGTAGTACTTACGTTGAGTTATCCTGTAAACCTCGTTTGCCCAAGGACCGCCTTCGCCATCGTCTTTACAAGCTCCCGATGGTCCGTACATCTCATAGGTGTTTTCCGCATCTGCAGATGCCGCGCACCAACCTCCATTCTACATGAAGCGGAAAACACAATAAAACTATCCTGACTGTCCATTCCGTTAGCAGTTCAAACAATGATAGCATGGCAATTATCGGGAGAGTGGCAGCATATCCGCCGAATCATTTGCATGTCTACGCTTTGACAAGGTGGACGGTGCCATGGGATCAGTCTTTTTGAAACGGCACAGCCTCTACAGTCATACAGGCACAGACATACCGACACACTTAGATCAGGGGACAATGTATTTTGTATTTTGTAAAGATGAAGAAAAGAGAAAAAACGCAGTTTTAAAAGCAATCAATTCAATTTCAGGGCGGCAAAACAAGAAATATTCTTGATGAGGAAGTCTATCTGATATTGACATTGTCCGCATTCCAACTACTATAGAATCATCCGGATCGAGCCAAATACATTGCTGACAGAATCTATTCGGCCAAAAATACCACAATAAGAACGCTCCCAATCCGGTTCGATTCGGATTGATCCGGATCTTCAACGCTTCACCTCGCGAATCCCGATCGCGACGGATCAAGCCTGCAAATCTTCTGTTTGTACGGAGGCCCAGAATTACAACCTGCGTCGTCTGCGCCAATACCTTCCTCGTCTGCGCCAATACCTGCGACGTCTGCGCGAATATATTCATCGTCTGCGCGAATACCTTCCTCGTCCGCGCGAATAGCTGCTTCGTCTGTGCGAAAATCTTCCACGTCTGTGCAAATACCCGCGTCGTCTGCGCGAATATATTCATCGTCTGCGCGAAAACCTTCCTCGTCCGCGCGAATAGCTGCGTCGTCTGTGCGAATACCTTCCTCGTCTGTGCAAATACCTTCCTCGTCTGCGCGCATACCTGAACTATCTGCGCGAATACCTTAACTATCTGCGCGAATACCTGCGTCGTCTGCGCGAATACATTCCTCGTCTGCGCGAATGCCTTCCTCGCCTGCGCAAATATCTTCTTTGTCTGCCCGAATAGATTCCTCGTCTATGCAAATACCTTCCTCGTCTGCGCGGATACCTTCCTCGTCTGTGCAAATACCTTCCTCGTCTTCGCGAATACCTTAACTATCTGCGCGAATACCTGAGTCGTCTGCGCGAATACCTTTCTCGTCTGTGCAAATACCTTCCTCGTCTGCGCGAATACCTTAACTATCTGCGCGAATACCTGCGTCGTCTGCGCGAATACCTTCCTCGTCTGCGCAAATATCTTCTTCGTCTGCGCGAATACCTTCCTCGTCTGTGCAAATACCTTCCTCGTCTGCGCGAATACCTTCCTCGTCTGCGCGAATACTTTCCTCGTCTTTGCAAATCCTGCGCCAACACCTGCGGCGTCTGCGCGAATATATTCATCGTCTGCGCGAAAGCCTTCCTCGTCCTCGTAGCTGCGTCGTCTGTGCGAATACCTTCTTTGCGCGAATACCTTCCTCGTCTGTGCCAATACCTTCCTCGTCTGCGCGAATAGATTCCTCGTCTATGCAAATACCTTCCTCGTCTGGGCGAATACCTTCCACGTCTGCGCGAATACCTTCCGCACCTGCGCAAATACCTTCCTTGTCTGTGCGAATACCTTCCTCGTCTGCGCGAATACCTAACTCATCTGCGCGAATACCTAACTCATCTGCGCGAATACCTGCGTCGTCTGCTAGTGTTAGGTCGACTCCGGCGTTTAAATGATCTACGGCCAAAATATTCAAATGATACCAGGATTTCACCCCCTGGCAAAGTGAGCTAGTCCACCTAGGAAACGTTATTTGGAAGTCAATGACAGGTCAAACCATGACAAAGGTCACACATATGGCTTCATTTTAAAAATATGTTTCTTTTGTTTTCTTACCAGAAAACTGGGTCTTTTTGAGCAAAATTAGCCCAGCAAAGAATTATCTAAAGAATAAGTCCCCCCAAAAAATCAGTGTACACACTGCTATACTTCTGCGTATGGCGATTTGATGGCCCCTCTTCTTCTAGGTAACGCAACTAGGTAGATGAGGGGAAAAAATACCCCCTGGCTGATACACTGAGGGGGTGTGATCATGTTCCCCAAATATGAAATTTATTGATAGCCCCCTTGGGATTTGAGAGCTAGGCTTATACCCTACATCTGGCCCTTAGGGGTCTGGCTATTGAAAAATCGGTATAAGTACTAACTATAGTCAGTCTGTATACATACTGCTACTTTTGCGCTTAGCGCGATTTGCTGGCCCCTCCCCTATTCGCGCAGACAAGGAAGGTATTCGCGCAGACGACGCAGGTTATACTTCTGGGCCTCCGTATGTTGGAGAACGCTAACTGGATCAAACCGGCTTGGTTTGGCCTGGTCGACTTGAGGACATAATACCTCCAGGATCATGGAGTGAACATGTGGACTGTGTACAAATTTTTCCTCCAACTTGCGCTTGTCTTTCCCAGTCGTCGTTTCACTTTCTTTCAATGTTCTCCCTACTTCCAGTTTTCAAAATATAAAGAATCGTCAAAATACCACGCCGGCCATAGTACAGGGAAGGATTGTTACGCACGACAAAGTTCTGTAAAAGTAGGAGCTTTCAGACGGCATCCACCATCTTTCTTCAGCTAATGACGAGGGCAGTCCCGTGACCCAGGGTTGAAAGGTCAGCACAGATCACGTGACTGGACGAGTGTGTTTTGGTCGCAGAACACAGTACTAATGGGCGACGCGGGTATAGAAAGTAGTGCACACAAACCTCTTGAATCCTGGCTAGTGCGACTTATGTGAGAGGTAGCTTGAGTAAACTGCGCTGTGTGGTATAGAAAGGTATCGGCTTGTACACCGTATGATTTGGATTGTGAACATTTTCCTTGTCGTGTATAAATGTGCGGCATTACGGAACCGCGTTCCGGGGTGAGCCGGCTGCAGTTCCGTTGACCCCGGTAGAGGGCCAAATCATCCTTCTTGTGTAATGATGGTGCCTGTCATGTTTTTGATCTTTTAACCCTTACCTTCAACGAGGGACACATAGCGGTTTTCCTGAAACTGTAGCTTATCCAGCTAAGCTAGCTGTAACTTCCATGCGGGAACGCGATCAAAGCGATCCGGAAACAATTCTGTACGATACGATACAATACGATACGATACGGTAAAACAAGCCTAGTGGACAAAGGGCCATTTACTGCCGTTTCTTGGCACATTTTTAAAATCATTATTCCATACTTGAAGCGCTTTACATAGCCCCAAAAACAAGATATACGAGGAGTCCTTTTATATTTTGGTACCGCTAATAAATATATAAGATCAGCGCCTATGATACAAGCAACCATTATCCGTCAGGAACATCACATTTTGCTTTACAAATATCAGTATGCTATAGGATAGAATTGATCAACTTACTACATTAAAAGTGACAGAAAATTGACTTTAAAACTTAACTTTTATTGCCCTGAAATGGCTTTAGGATTGAAAGTGGCCTTTAAGACGCTAGAAATCAATTTTACATACCTGAAGAGCAAACACAGAGAAGTTGCGACTCTGCGCCACGGCCTGGCATTTCTGGATGGCCTGTTCACGTGACTGGTACGGTCCGTCCAACCTCGGGTCCGATCCCTCGACAGTAGGGATGGCCCTGTCAGCGGTGTCTGCCCAGCACCCGAGCCGTTCTACCTGAACATCGATATCTGAGCAGGGGAATCGTCAACATTGTCCGGTTAGATGTTTACATCGGACACATCCAAGCAAATCAGTGATGTCTAAACAAATATAACTCTGAGATACGGTCTTAGTGATTGTACAAAAAAAAGGTACAAAGAGACAAACGAATAGACTGATACAAAGTTGGTGTCGCTCTCTAAAATGTATTTTGTAAGTCTATGTCTGTAATATTGTTACTGATTTTATCGTTCCCTCAAGTTTTTATTACCATAGATATTAATTAATAAGTCAACAATTGAATGTGCTGGACATAGTTTTAGTTGTGCACCTTGTAGTTATATTTCCTTATGCATGTATGTATGCACATAAAATTCAGCGTACGGGCTGCCAGTAGTTGATTTGTAATAAACCAAACTAAAGAAGATAACTAAAATTAATAAATTAAATCTCTCAAAAGATCACTTTTTAATGCTTCGATTGTTTTCAAGATGTCATTGGGACACTCAAGGTTCAAAGTAACGTCCATACCTTCATACACCTCGACCTCACAAAGTGTGAGAGACTGCTTTGTCGGTAGAAGGATGCCCACATATCGGCCCGTACGCCCGTGGCAGTCCACGGTGATGGCTGTTTGTCCCGCCGGCACCACGTGGTCCCCGCCGCAGGTTGGGTTGGAGCCCACGTGAGGAGAATCTCCGACGTGAAGCCGGAAGGGACTCAGCCTTTCCTGACAGCAGTCCTGTCGGTTGAAGATGACGACGTCGCCGACGCTGCGAGAGCTGCCCAGGTTGACACGCCACCACGGGTTGTCAGTCTGCCGGGTGTGGGTACAGGATTCACCGCGCCAGGCTCCATTTCGGTCGCCGTCCACCGCCCGACCAGAGACGCCGTCGTGTGAGACGCTTGATTGTTGCGTTGGTTTCCCTAAGGCGATGTTTGGGCGGCGAATACCTTAAAAAAATGTTAAATTGACGTTTCGTTAAGTAGTAATTTTGACAAGGAAATGATGTCATAGGTCACATAATAGCCTGTGATGATATCATCATCATGTCAAGTAAATACGTCGATGAAGGTTAGACATCCAGGTAATACGATACGCCAAAAAACTGTTACTCAAGCAACTGGATATGATTTTGAAATATCATTCAAAATCATATCCAGTTGCTTGAGTAACTGCTTTTTGGCATGTCAAGTAAATGTAGCCAAGACCTACCCAAAGAAACCTGGACTTCACACAGGGTCAGTATTCGGGAGGGGCCGGGGAGACGGACGCCCACGTACCGCCCCCTCATCCCCTGACAGGAGACGGAAATGGACGACTGGTTCACGTCGATGTGATGGTCACCGCCACACTTGGGGTTCTTGCTGACCTGGTCGGAATCTCCGATGTGGATGTTGAAGGGGTTGAGTCGTTCCGAACAACAGTCCATCCGGTTGAAGATTGCTACTCTGTTATTAAAAACAATGCATAATGTTACGTTGGTAAAGGTTACTCATAGTCATACAGGGTGGTAATAAAATTAGTCTAGAGTAGTTTACTCGTTTCGAACTGGACTGGGTTTTTAATTGGTAGACGTTTCAGGTATCGTCCGACACCTTTCATCAGTACAAGTGAATGTTTACACAGGATTTTACGGAACAAGAATTAAGTTCTAAATACACAAAAATAGAAACAGTCAATGTTCTAAAGAAAGTTCTAAAGAAAGCAATCAATCAATCAATCAATAGCCCTTATTTATACTGGAAATGCCCTGTCGGCCTTAGCCGCTCTTCCCAGAGGTCCAGTTTAAATAAACAAATGTAACTGAAAGGGTTCTAAAATAAGTTAACTATCAAAAGTTCTAAAATACATTAAAAAAAGGAAGGAATAACTTATAGAAAACTAAAGTACGCCAAAAATACAATCAAAAAGTGTCTTCAATTATTGTTATATAGAATTATACATTATTAGAAAGCTTATAAATTATCATTTACATTAATTATGTGTGTTTGAGCTTGATGCTTATGTATATCAACTGATGAATCATACATGTTGTTCACATACCTGCTAACCATATACGACTGACCAAGATCCACCCACCAGCTTGGATATGCCTCTGTAGCAGTGTGTGAACAGGAACCAGCCTGGTAGTCGCCATCAGTGTTCCCGTCTACAGCACGGCCTGCAGCCCCAGTCCAAGCAGTGCTGGTTTGATACGCTGACTTCCCCAGGGCGACACTGACACCTATCCCTGGCGAGAGGACAATCATCACCAGTGTTATATGGCAATATATTTGTGTCAAAAATGCGGGGCTAAATGTGTGACCTTTTTCCTTGATTTCTGTCACATGCGACGTAAAACACGTCACGTCCGACCTATTACAAACACGTCACGCTTAAGTTCGGCACCTGTGACTATTGCCTTAGTAAGAGTCACTGGTGACTGTGAACGAGCGACACCTAGCGGAATTTGTATGCGGCGGAGACAGGGACGTGGGTCCAATTTTAATTCACGTCACATGTCACAACATAGTAGGTGTCCTCTAAAATGTCACGTTCGACCTACCACAAACAAGTCACACATCAGAGTATGTCACCTACTTCACGTCCAACGTAAGATAAGTCACGTTCAAATTACAACAAGGTATTCAACCGAGCATCTTGAGAAGATATGCACACATTCTAGCCTCCTTCGCAGTCTTGTTGGGCGTTATTTTTTCTCTGAGCGACGCGAGTAATATGCCGCCGCGAGGGACGATTTGCTGCCGAGGGAGTGTTTGCCACGGAGAGAAGGTTTCGCGCTCCAAACCTTCTCTCCGTGGCAAAAACTCCCTCGGCAGCAAATCGTCCCTCGCGGCCGCATATTACTCGCGTCGCTCAGAGAAAAAATAACGCCCACGCCCAAAAAGACTGCGAAGGAGGCTAGGCATTTCCGACGGGGACATTGTAGAGTGGCTGTGTAAAATTTCACAAGATATAGAGACAGGATTATGAATACTGTATTACCGTCTTTTAGAAAAGAGAGTGAACACACGCGCAGCGAGAACACTTTTAAAACCCTGATCGCCGTGTGACAAGCATACCCTGATATGTGACGGGTTCTTTGACGTCACCTATTTTACACTGGACGTGACGTGTTTGTGGTAGGTCGGAAGTCACGTATTTAACGTCGCGCATGTGGCGTCTGTTTAAGGACGTCATCTACTTTATTTTGTGACATGTGACGTGAATTAAAAATGGACCCACGTCCCTGTCTCCGCCGCATACCAATTCCGCTAGGTGTCGCTCGTTCACAGCCACCAGTGCATTGCATTGCAGAAAGAAAAGTCACGTCCTACTAAAGTGTAAGCCACAAACCGTTAACTAGTTTATCAATAGAAGGACGTGACTCTTACTAAGGCAATAGTCACAGGTGCCGAACTTAAGCGTGACGTGTTTGTAATAGGTCGGACGTGACGTGTTTTACGTCGCATGTGACAGAAATCAAGGAAAAAGGTCACACATTTAGCCCCGCATTTTTGACACAAATATATTGGCATAAGTGTTATGTGCGTATCTTCTTCTTGTTTGTAGGTAACGTACGTTCCTCATGCAGAAAAAAGAAGAAGAAATGTAATTGGTATCTATTGTCATGTAATTTGCTCAATGTGCCTATTGCTTTTTCTGTAAATCACTATATATATAGTACAATGGTGGGCATTATTGTGAATTGACTACTCTGAACATTTTGAACGCTAAACAACACAAAACCTAGACCGTTCTTTTCGTTTTGATTTCCCTGTTGATACAAAAGATGGGTGGAGTGTATAAAACTTACCTGAACAAGTAGCTGGAAGGAGAAGCGCACATCCAAGCAAGATGACACCGAGTGTCCTCATGATGGACCTTCTCTCTGAAACAGAGCAAAGACAAAAGTAGATAATTGAAAACACTGCTTGCATGTCAGCATAAGTTTTATAATATGTGATTTTGTTTGCTGCAATTTATCTAGCCTAGGGATGAGGTGATACATCGTCTTTGACATGCAGTCAAACCAGTCTACATCACCGCCGTGGGGAACATCATGGTGACAAGACCGAGAAACAATCTTCTTGTATACTGATTGATTATCAATAGATTATTGATAAGTAAGCTATGTGCAATAGACCACTGAGATTATAAATTAATCATTGATAAGTATGCCATGTGCGATAGGCCACTGAGTTTTTGTTGAGACCGTTGCCTCTTTATCTTTAAAGTAACTGAACACACATACACCGTGTACTCCGTACAATGAAATATACTGTACATATAACACACACTGGGTACTTGGTCCGCTTCGGGTACTTCCTAATCGGCGCTCTGGTTATGAGATAGATAGTGCAAAGGCCGACGGGAATAGAACAGGTTTCGCAGTTACTCGAACGCGTTCGCAAACCCGCTGCTCGAATGGACCTATTACATTACTACGTCACAGTTTGTTTACAGCAATGAATGCCGGGGCGCCCGGGCAGTTTGTGGTGAATCAATGTTTACATTGTACAGGTGTGTGTGTTTGTGTAGCGTTACATATACATGTAGTAACGCAAGCTTACCAGTTTACGTGCAGGACCAGTTTACGGTCAGTTAGCGACACGGCTGCACTTCGAGATGTTTCATCCATCCTCATTTAGCACCACAGCGCTACTGCATGCGACATTGGGCTACACACTGACATTTTATCGTGGTTTGTTGTTGACCACTTCGGTAATTTTTTGCAGGAGGTGTTTGTTAACGTGTGCTTATAAGTAGAGTATTACATGACAAAGGTCCAAGTGACCGTTAATTGGTCACTCAAGAACAATTCTCCACTGTTAACTACTGCATAAATAAAAGCTGGCACGGCACAAAAAACGCAGGGAAGAAATGACACGGCACACACTTTTATAACCGGCGAACTACTGTTTCTTCACATGGGTTAAATATTTAGTTCTGCCCACGCGTTTTCACAAAAAATGTAATTCGACCGTAAACTGGTAACCTTGTATTACATGTACTTTCGTCTACTGTCACAACTAACCACCCTTTACGGCATGTAATGCTGTGTCAACAAAACTAGACCCAGCAAAAATCAAACATACCTGACTTTGAAAACTTGAAATGACCTTAATTCTTTAACTGACCGTTCTAGAATGTTCTTTAGAACAGGTAAACAAACTCACATAATAATGTAAAAGCTAGGTCCGTTGTCTCAGCTCAATACACTCTTATAATAATGCTGTTTAACTTTGTGTTCTTACCTAAAATGGACTACTGTAATGCAATTCAAGATGAATTACGTCCAATTTACAAACAAAGTTTAAAAACTATTCACTAAAACAAACAGTGTTTCACATTATAAGAATTACACCAACTCATCAAAAGAAGGACAGCTTTGGAGTTTGACACATCGCATCTTTAATCCTGTTCTTTTACTCCATGTGAGATGTCACAGACCACGGGCATACTGGTAACCAGGGCTTCGAAATAGGTAGTTTCGGTGCCGAGACGCGTAACATGGAATGTTAACCGTTAATTTGGAATGTGCGAGAACTCTGAACTTTTGACTAATGCCTTGCGTAGAAACCTGAGTAAATTGTACTGAGGAGAGTCTTGCAGTGTCTGCTCGACGTGAGGGTGTGACCCTGCGCTATTAATGCTAGAGATTGCACTACTACAACAGGTAGCGACTTCTGAGTGAGGAAAACGAACGGGAATGAATACTAGTAATAGCATAAGGTGGTATAGTAGACTACTAGATAATGCTATATCTAACTACTTGACGTGCAGATATGAGCTAGCCCGTGTAGCCCGTGTAGATTGTAGTCAGGTCGGTTGTCGACAGGTTAAACCTTCTCAATCGTTTGATAAGGTAGTGTAATATGGGGCAATTGTAAAACGTGTCTGACGAGCAAAGTACAAAATTTCCAGAACCGGGCAACGAGACTTATTCTTGGTTTACTATGTTGGGGGTAATTAGTAATCCACCCCACAATTTTACTTAGCGCTTGGGACATGTCATTAGCATAGGCGAACAGTTTGTTAAAAGAAACATAAATGTCTTACATTTCTAAAACAAATAGGTATCAAGGTCAAATTCACTTCTAAGAACAAGTTCTTTTACATCTTGTACGGTTTAATCAAGGAAGTTTAAACCGTCTTGGTTTACTGGACAAAACAATAAAGCTTCGAAAAAAAAATCCGCATGAACAGGAAAAACTTCACAATCCAGACCATACAATCTAAAAGGGGTCGCCTATCAATACCTTGTGGTTCTGCGACCTCAAATGAGCGGATGCCACTGAGATTTTACCTGAAAAAATTAATGTCACCAAATGCATTAAAACGACGCGGTTTGGGATTGGGCCGTGTGTGGGCAAGTTCCACTGTGTGTCCTTATGCAGTACTTAACAGATTGATTTTGTAGAATGGTGCAAAAGGCATCAGTTCAGTGAAAAAAAATGTTAATTTTTATCAAGCTGTGTTCTGTGTCTATTTGATAACACGTAGGAGTTATAGTAAAGTAAAAAGTAAAAGTCTATTTGGGCGAAAATACTAAAGGTTAAGGCAAGAGACTCCTGGGATAGAGCTGTGGAAGGGCACTCCCACCCCCTTAAGCTTAGTAATTACGCTGCTGTCGGGCGTACCCTCCATTGAAAACTAGTGACGATGGTTCCGGTGAAGCCTTAGGCACAGCGTACAAGCTAACATATCGGGCATCTTATGTCAGAACAATTATCTTGATGTGTGCTCAGGCAATCTTTCGTTGGGATTGTTATGCCCAGGAACCCAAAAGTTGTATCTTCCCTCAGAAAATCAAAAAGGGTACTTAAGCCTGGTGTGGTGGCGGTGGAGTCCCTCCACAAGCCCCCGCCCCTTCCCCAAACCACATATAGAAGCAGCTTCCTGTGTTTACTTCTTGTCTTATTCAATATCTTACAAACCTTTTAAGGTTCGGCAGAACAAAAGCGCCGCTGTTGTTGAGGCCGTCACAGCGTCGTCAGCATAAAAATGTGGATGTGTCACGATGGTCAAATTTGGGACAAATATTCCAACCTTTTTTTCGAACCGAATCATGTTCGATATGACGTCATTCGAACCGAATCATGTTCGATATGACGTCCATCTAAGCGAATCATGTTCGATATGACGTCATTCGAACCGAACGTTCGTTCGATCCGGTATCATCCGCGGACATGTACAGTAAACCCGCGGCTTCAAGCCCGTTTTTACACGGGTACCGCCTAACAGTAAAAAATCCACCTTTTCACAAATATAAACCAATTTCGGGACAGTACATCTATGCCCCGTTTTATTATGGATATGTAACATGTAACGAAGCTACTGCCGTCATCGTGTGTGACCTTGACGATCGTAATTGTTGATTACGGGGATATAAGTTGCTCACACGACCCGACATGCGTGCAAACTTGGCATTTAAACCGCAACAAAAACAAATTCAATTTACCTGAAAAACGTTTTAAGTTGTAGGCAAGACAAAAATCTTGATCTGTGCCGGACGGATTTTTTAAAGATGGCGGCGTTTTGGAATTAACGGTCTGGGAAGTCGAAAAAGTGAATTTGTTGGCGAATTTTTCGACCTTAGCAACACTTCAACTTTGAAATAAAGAAAACTGTCCGACTCAATTATTAGTTTTGGTATACTGTTCTCTAAAATGCAAAAAATGTGGTATTTTCTGGGAGATTTGGGGTCGGTTTAAATCAGTTGTTTGGTTCTTGACGTCGATTGTTCTAGAATAAGCATTCAACGCGTTAAGAGTGATTTCACACACATTTAAGCATCGTAATAAAAACAACAACATTTGAACGTAATTAAAAAAGCGGATGAGGCAGTGTTTATTTGCGGGCCGACTTGGCTTCTGTGCCGTAGAAGCAACCGCCGGGCTGGTACAGGAAAAGTAAAGCTCACGGACTTCCCGTAGTAGTTATGTTAAGAGATTTATTTTTAGTTATTTTGGCACAAAACGCCTTGCTTTGCCGACTGACTGGGCAGTGTTATTTACGGGCCTACTTGGGTTCTGTGCCCATAGGCATTTAGAGACAACCGCTTTGTGGACAGGTATATCCGCGGCCGCGCCTATCTGGGAGGAACGCTTGAGTTTGACACATTTTAAACTGCATCACATTTTCGTCGGTTTTGACAATCTTCAGCTTATTTATCTGGCTTATGTTGAACTTCATTCCTTGCGCTGTTTAGTGTTTTACCAGCCAAACTTTGTGTGTACTTGTTGTGCTGATTCGCCAGCGGCCCTCTGGCGGCGTCCTCTGTAGTCCGTACAGAAAGCCAGGCGCCTGCATACAAATGAGCCCGATCATGACGTCACGCGCCCCGATGCTGGCCAAAGACCGCCCGAGCTACCAGCGATATGTCAGCTGTTTCCGCGGATTTCCTTATTTAAAAGCAAACATGACTTGAGCAGACGGCGTTGTTGACGGGATGTAAGAAGGCGGACATTTTGATATTTGTTTCGGCCCTGTGCGACAAGTATTACTGAGTTTACAGGCATTTTTTGTTAAAATGCGTACCTATCTTTTGATCTCA